ACTTTCATTTGGTTGTAAATATTAAGATTATACTAGCAAGAATGAGTCTTTATGTAGAAAACCATGATTTAAATCTAGTCTTATGACTAGTGATTTAAATCAAATCCACCCTTGAAAAAATAGTCAGTCACTATTAAAGTATCTTGGGCCCCAATCACACGGCAAAGATGCTGCGGGAGAGGCATGGGAGTCCCGCAGATTTTCCGGGCGCAATCACACCCCAACATCTGGGAAGCGCAGTGCTCCCGTGGCAAACCCTCCGAAGGTGCGGATTAAAAAACTAGTACTTACGAGGTACTAGTTTCCAGAAACCGCGGGCCAAGGGCAGGCGTCTGATCGCTTTTCCAGTGGACTTACGTGGCATCCGGCACCTGTCTCCGCAGGTTGCGCATGCGCACAAAGAGCAATTGCTAGTGCGATTGCGCGGCTTCTGTGCCGCGCTGCAGGATACCCGTCTGGTCGGCTTCCCCCCCCCTAACCACGGGACCTCGACCGGGACGTGTGCTTGGGCGGCCACGCGTTAGTTTCCTCCAGGGCAATTAGCCACACCTCCCCTCCGTGATATCTGGCCCATGTGACCGGGGCCATTAAAGTTTTGCATACCATTTTTTTCACACACATTTGCCTTATATTCCTTGTTCCTTTGACTATATTGAGAACCCATTTATACAGTTTTACACTACTTCAGGAGCTCAATTTGGGAAAAAAAATTATTTGCCTTTGCTACTATCAAAACAGCAGAAACATAATTCTTCAGAGATTATTACTTTTCTTTCAAAGTATTGCCTAGAAATTCCAAAAACAAAGGAAAACAATGTTGAAGGACAGGAAAAGGTACTGCATATTTTTTTGGAAGCAGAATGACATGGTCCAAAATTAGATCATCTACACTTGCAAAAATCTGTAGTAACTGTAGTAACATATTCAGATAATCCACAAACACAAGTTCTCCAATAGTTCTGGGCTTTTAAGGCCAGAAAAATGCAAACATTAGTTGTCAGAAACACAATTCATCTAATTAAAACAAACAAATTCTTTCCAGTGCAGGACTCATCAGCTACAGCCTAAGCTATATTTAGCTTTTAAAGCTGATCGGTATGGATTACTTGCTGTGTTCTTAAAGAGTTCAGCGTTTTTCATCAGTCAGAGACAAAGGAAAAATAGCAACATATACACCATGTCTTTAGATTCAAGTGAGTAGCTTGTTCTGAAGCAACAGAAGAAAGTTTGAGTCCAGGGGCACCTTTAAGACCAACAAAGTTTAATTCTGGGTATAATTAACCTTTGTTGGTCTTAAAGGTGCCACTGGACTCAAACGCTGTATCAATTATTCAGGTTCTTTAAACTAATGAAACCTTTTGGGAACAGTTCAACCAATAAAAAATGCCATGTTGCCACAACCAACCAAAGTTCTTCAAGCCAATGGTAACTACAGTTGCTCATGGAGAATACCACTTTCTTAGTTAAATTCAAGCCTGGGCTCCTCGCCTCTTCCTCCACAGGCGTATTAACAACACGCAGAAGGCGCCGTTCCCACCAAGGGAAAATTGTGCTCTGAGGGAAGGGGTCTTCTTCCTCCCCCTCCTCACCCCTGACGCCGGGAAAGAAGTGCGGAAACAAGCGCCCCCTTCCAAGTCGTCCTTCCAACAGAATGCCTAAATTTTCTCGCCTCTCAGTGACCACCAGGCTTCCTCTCAAGGCGCAAAAGGAGGACAAGGGAAAGGAAAACGGAGGGTTTGAATCACGCGGCAGAGGCGGACCTAGCCACGGCAGAGCAGCCCTTCAAACTGACATACATTATTTTATTTTTTTTAAAGAAAGCTCACCCGGGTCAAGGCGAGTAGAAGCCCAGCACCTCAAGGCTCACGAACCGACGCGCGCAAAACACGAAGCAGCGGCGGCGGCGGCGGCGTCACATCCCCCGCAGGTTCATCGTCCCTCTCCACGCCCCCTCGACAAGCTCTGAATTCATCCGCCCGACAGGAACCGCCCCCCCCCCTTTCCCGGCGCGCGCCACATTTCTCATAAGCAAAAGAGCGGCAGGAGATGTGTGTGGGGGGGGGGGGGGAATGAACCACAGACAATTTCTATTGGCCCAAGGAAGACCGGAAGAAAAGTCTTATGGTTTTGTGATTGGATGAGGCTCGTGGGACGTGACTGCTTTCAAATAGTCCAGTAAAAGGTGAGACTTTCCGTTAGCTCCAGAGGTAGCATAACATAAGGAAGTTTAGAATTCCATCTGATTTTTGGTTTTTTTAATGTTTTTATCAGTCCCGTCAAATAAAGATACCGTGGCTTCCTCTTGTTTAGAGTTCCTCCAGTGGATTCTCTGTTAAACATACTGAAGGTTGCGTTAAGAGGGGAGGAGTAAAAAAATGTACTTTATATCATTAAATTATAAACGACGTGAAAGTCCAAAACATTGCAGCAAGGCTTGTGGTACCTTAACGGTAGTATTCTAGCAGAAGCTTTAAGATCCCCTTTTATCGGACTCATGGAATGGATCTCCCTTCTGGCAAATACAAACGTTATATTCAGGTGGGTAGCCGTGCTGGTCTGAAGGAACAGAACAAAGTTGGAGTCCAGTAGCACCTTTAAGACCAATAAAGTTTAATTCTGGGTATAAGCTGCAGTGTGCATTACACAGAGAGGAAAGGATGATTTTTATTTGCACTACTTGGGCAGAGTGGAGACTGAGGATTTTTCAGGCATTATAGAAGTTAATCAGTTTAGCAAAATTAAAGCAGATTATGGCTGTTGCAGACTATCACGGTACTAGATTACATTTAAACCTACAAAGAAATACCACACACCTGCCTAAAGCATTTCATGGCATTTTGACCCTATTTATACTCTTTTCTGTGCATGTTGCCCAACTGCAAACCCACCTGTGACTTTAAGAAGATAATGCCCCTATGGCAATTAATTTGGTAATAAGAAAAAAAGTTGTATTTACAGGATTTTTCTCATATACAAAAGGTACCTCAGGCATGGAAGTACTAAGCAATAGTAAGCCGCCACACAATGACATTCGTAAACATCAGATGCTCTCCAAAAATTGTTTTGCATCTGAACAGCAGACTGTGGCTGTTTTAGAACAGTTTGCATTCAGCTGCTTAACACTAACTGCTTTTGTTGATTTAAATCAATCTATGCTCCTTTAAGTGTTAAAACCCAGGCAGGATCATTTTAAAGAAATGTTTTTCTACAATTACCTTGTTCTGGAAATTGAGTCATATGCTACAAATAGCTCCATTTTGTGGAAAGAAAAACTGTCACTGGACCATCCATTGACATTTCCAATGTGGTGGCAGCATTAATACTGCTAGCAAGCCATGACTCTGAGGCATCAGCCTTGTTTCCCAAAAAGCAACCTGCCCCACCCTCCTACACACAGTACACAAGAAACCACCGGAGTTTTCAAAAACTGTGTAGAACTGGAGTTGGACGGGGCCACAGAGGCCATCTTGTACAAACCCCTGCTCAATGTAGGTATCAAGCTGAAACATCCCTGAGAAGTGTTTGTCCAGCCGCTGCTTAAAGACTGCCAGCCGATTCCACTGCTGAACTATTACTGTAAAAAAATTTTTCCTAATATCCAGCCAGTATCTTTCTGCCCGTAATTTAAACCTTTCATTGCAGGTCCCATTCTCTGCTGCCATCCCTGCCCTCCTCTAAGTGACAGCCTTATTGCATAAAGGGTCTGCTTCTCAAACTAAAAGCATAATTTGAATGCTTTGGGCTCAACTGAGGGAGTTGTTTGGATCCCATCACCACCAAGTATTTAAATTTGAGCATCAGTGGCAGATAGATCTTCACCCAAACACTTAATAGGAAAAATCATTTTTATCCACATCTAAATGAGATTCTCAAAAGACGAGCAAGCCTTATGGAACATTCTATAGTGCTGTGTACATGTGTTAAAAAGACCATATTCCTGATAGACAGCAATGCTACATTTACCCAGAAGAGTATCTTGAGAAGGACCTCATCATCTGTAGCTGTAAGGAGCCAATATGACTCTTGTAGGAATATTCTCCCAGGTACTCAGCCCAAATTTCTATATTTTATGGCAATATAAAGCTCCAACTCGTTAGCCTAGAGGAAAGGTTGCAAATACACTTGTGTAGTAATTGGTAATTCTCTGGAATTTACAATATTTTGCAAAGATGCAATTGAGAGCTCTGAATAGTATCTACTCAATCACTCTGTTGGATTCCACAATCCAGCCGCACAAGATATTAACTGATCTTTGCTTTGTTCCCCTTCCCAGCTGACCCTGCAGATTCTGGGATAGTTGATACCCAGAGGGTGCATGGACTAACAGCCACAGGGACTGGGAAGCCTGCAATGAAGAGGGGGCAAGACAAAAGCACCCTTTCCCATCTGTTAGCAGAAGGCTGATTTTTGCCCTTCCTCTCCTCTGTACAGCACCCTAGTCCCATGCATCTATTGTTCCATGTAAGACCTACAACCCCAGTTTTCCCAAGGTCAGAAAGAGCTGCTAGGAGGACAGGACCAAGGAAAACAGCTCTGACTGATCAGTGAGCACAGATTGCTGTATCCAACTTAATGGGTCCAACAGTAGTTAAGACTTCTTTCCTCTTGTCCTATTTGGCTTCTAAAGTCCTTGGCAACAGCATGTGGAAAGCAGCTATCTCAGCAAACAGATCTCGTTGTTGCTGTATAACAGGTATACCTTTTAGCTAGCGTACCCCAGGAGACCAAGAAATGGTAGCTCTTCTCTTTCTCAGTCTCTAGAGAGGTATGGTAAAAGGGCTCAAGGCAGCCCTGGAGGCTTCCAGCCCTTGTGCTATCCAGTCGGAGTCAAGGTTGATGTCATTTCCAGATGCTCAATGGCCAAGCAGAGTAGGGTAAATCACAGGTAGCAGAAGAATAGCAAGCAATCTTCAGCCAAAACTCCCTATGTTTGTTAATAAATATAACTTCAAGAAAAACAACAACACATTACATACTTATCAAAGTGTTTTATTAGCCCATTTTATAAAACAATGTAGTGTAAATGGTGTTATGAATGAAGGTGAAAAGTTTTAAAAGTGACTAAAGCCTTTGACTTCTGTTTTGCTGCAGAATGCAGCACGAACAGCGTCCTCTACTTCAGTATTCCATTTCAATACTCATACCCAGTGCTAGAAGAGTTTCAAGGATCTTGTCACCTAGCAACTGTGATGCTGGTGCTCAAGAATTTAAAATATTTTCCCCTCACATTCTAGAATAATTTAAGTTTAAAGATATATTACCAAATTGATGGATATCAACATAAAGCATTAAAGAGCAAAGATCCCAAGCAACTGAGTATAAAAAAATTATGGAAGCATTTTGAATTAGTCGGTGTGGGTAACTCATAATTAGCACTACTTGTTTGTTTCATTATAATTCAAAAGGGCTGATGGTAGGGCTAATACCTTGATGGAAGCACAGTAACTTGTTGGACTCCAAATACCATGTTTTGGTTTTCAAAACACGACTTCCAAAACCTTAATTCAGGTGGGAACACGCAAAAACAAAACAAAACACCGAAGCAGCCAGAAAATGAAGCATTTTAACAAGCATCTGAATAAGGCCCTTTAGACAGCTTTAAATGTGTATTAAACCCCTTCATTTTCCCGTAACAGGTTAAGAGGTCGAGAGATATATCGTCTGCGAGGGTGAGGATACTGGAGATTGGCAGTGTCAGCATCACAAGAGTGCTCTATCAGAGGAGGAGGAGGTAGGAGCTGGGCATAACTGGACCACCTTGATCCAGCCCGTGGGGAATCCAGAGGGGGAAAGAAATACCTGAAAACAATTAAGACAGGAACACCAAAAAAAAAAAAAAAAAACAGAAGAAAGAGAAAAGTAGTAAATACAAGGAGAACCAAAGGGGAGAGACACATGCTGGAAAAAAAGGCTTTAGTAAATCCATGCTGAAAAAGAAAAAAAAAAACAAGATACAATGGCAAAAATAAAGTCCCCAATTAAAAAAAAAGTTGTTTGTGGAAGCGTGGAAATTGTTCCTTAAGAATACAGTCACATGGGATAATATATTTCAGAAAGGAATAAGTTAATTCCTAACAATTATAAACACCTTTGCTTATTCACTTTTTAAAACTATGCAACTCATTAACATAGCTTTTAGTAACACTTCCAGGAAAGAGGCACACATCAATTATGCATGTACATAGGCTGTATTTCCATCCAGTTTAGATTAGCTTTACTGCACATTTTTTAGAAGAGATGTAAAAACAGGTTGTTTTTACAATGCTTAGATTTCCACAATATACAAAAAAATAATCCCTTTCTACTGAAATACAATCTGCGTGCATATTTACATATTTGTGGAGAAAACATCAGAAAAAAGCCCAAACCTCTACTAAATTAACCACTTAAAAGAATTATGCCATGTCATTTCTTTTCTCCTCCACTTTTTGAGACTTACCCGTAATATTAAAGACACCAGTTTGTAATTTTTCTCATCTTTGGAAATTTAGAAAAAATTACATAGCAATATGGCTAAGCTAGTAAAATTTAGAGACATGACATTTTAAAAGCTACGTTTACATGTCAAACAAGGTAGTTCCTTGCCATGTCCTACCAAATGTTGCCATGTCCTGCCAGATATTTCAGTTTATTTCAGGGCAAAAGCACAGTCATTACAAAGGATGCAAAGCTTGAAGCAATGGATAACAATTCCCAGAGCAACTTGCAAATATTCATTTGGAGGGGGTTCACCACCACAATACTATGATGAGAGGGAGTTCTATTCTTCCATGGAATCATGCCCCAGGAACATGCAGCCATTAGCTAAAATCATTCTAACAGTACAATACAATGCAAAATTATTCCACTCTAAGCCCACTGAAATCAATAGGCTTTGACTGGAGCAACTCCGCATAGGGTTGCACTGCTAGTCAACTATGGTATTTTTTCCCTTTGAAATAGTACTTAAAGGTGAAAAAATACCAAACTAAATGTAAAATACCAACTGTACATGCATCAAATTACAATGTTGTTCACATTGTTTAAGCATTCTTTGTGCATTACAAATTCATTAACAAAATTGTAATGTTGGGTATCTAATTGAACACTTCAAGATGCAGAACAACCAAATAGAAGAAATTTAATGAAAACCAACTGACTTCAGTGGCTTTGCACTAGGATTTTCTCTCTTGTCACTTTAGGATACAAGGATAGTAATCCTCTCTTAATCCCTCCCACCTCCATCAGTTTTTTGGGGGGGAGGGAAACTGTCTCTGCAAGAGGGATATTTTTTTCAACAGTTCCAACAAAATCATACTGTACTGGCTAGTAGAATTCATACTACAGTGCTTTTTAAAAAGAGCCTTTTGATTTGCATTTAGTAGTAGGCAGACTGCTGGTGTCTTGGGAAGAGATCAAACGGCGTTGGGGAGGGGAAAAAGGAGTTCGCTTTCCATTCCTGTGTGCATGCAACAAGCAGCAAAACAGCAAAGTTACTCCAGTTAGCTTGGTATCAGCTGTGCTTTCTGTTAAAGGACATAATACAAATGAAGAAGGAAAAATGCATCACAATTTTAGACACACATGTGGTTATAAGCACAATAAGAATACTGTAAAGCAGTATTTAATAGGTTTATTAAGTTTTAATCTTTTGAATCACTTTATTACTTTCCTGTTAAACACAATGATGATTTTGATCTTCAAAAATGTTAGTAGTGTTACTAGAGTTTACCAACAAAGTACTAAACACTGAGCCCTAAAATGCTAACTAGTAGTGTATCCTACCAGTGTTTCTAGTAGTCAGCATTTACATTTGTACTGACAAAATCTAGAGGGTATTAATTGGAACATATCCATTTTTGTCCTGCTTTCCCTTTTTGTTTAGTTTGAAAATCCTATAACTGCACAAACCTAAACATCTCAGATGCTCACTTTTTCTCACTGCAGAGCTAGCGTTCATTACTTCATCTAAAAAGACAGTTTTACCATCTTAAGGGGACAATTTAACACAAACCTGCCATTTAGCTGACAGGAGTAAAGTCTTATCATCCAGTTACTGGGTGCAGTGTTTCTTTATAAATGGGGTGGGGGATCAGATCAGTTGCGGCACACTCCAAAACAGGAAAGTTAGCCAGTTGTCCTCAATAGCTGGCTGCCTTTGAGTTTCACATAGAAAGGATTAGCAGCTGACAAGCCACACTTTCTCTGCCCTTTCTCTACCCAACCACCATCATGTTGCACAGATTGCAACAAGGGAAGCTAGAATGCCCAGTTGCAAAAAGGACTGTGAAGTTTGTCAACCTTGGGACCAAGAGTTGTACCTTTGTCACTAGGACATAAGCATGACCACTTTAAAACAGAAGCTAGCCTTCATGCTTTGTGGCAAAAATCCTGGAAAATACACTGACACTGTAGCATGTGCTTCGGGTTGAGTCCATCGAATGCCAATAGTATGATTGCATCCAAATTCCAGGGTTCCTTTCAGAGTCAAGTTTGTAAGGGCAGGGAAAGGCCTCAAAGGCTTTGTAGCTTTCAGCGCACAAGTGGTTGTGAAACACTGCTGAAGAACTGGATGTAAGGAGGGTCTTGCTCCCAAGAAGTCTCAGGAAGTGGCAGAGGACAAGTCAAAGAGACCTTGGTTGAGGAGCAACAGAATAATCAGTGATTTCAAGGTGTTACAGAGTAACAAGAAGCAGACCATATTTCTGAAGTACTCAAAGGTCTCAACATTTGTAGGATATGAATAATAACTGATAGAAAATGTTTCATCTGTTATACATCTCACAGCAATGTTAGCAGGACTAGAACAGATGAACCACCTGCTAGCTATTGATGGAGTATTTTTACTAATAAATACACATATGAAAATGAGACTCAAGACAGTAAGACTAATTTTTAGAGGGGGGGGGAGAATTAAACCACAAAACACTCTACCTGCCAGCAGATGTCCCATTGACTGAATTCTGGAGACTTGGATTGGCTGTGCCCAAAGGAGCATTAAAAACTCCCTGCTGACTGGAACTAGCGTTGACTGGACTTCCATTACCTTTCAGAATTCCAGTGCACTTCCAATTGTCCATGTAGTTAGCTGGGAGGGGGGAGGACAACAAGCACATATCTCAGTTAAATCAGCTTTTGCTTAAACTATACTTCGGCTTCCATATTGAAGTCATAACATACTGTCCTTTAAAGACTTTTTTTTAAATTGCCGTAGCTTGTCCAAAGGAAACAAGCAGCAAATTGTTACGACATATATAACTATTCCTAAGTGGCTTACTATCACTGGGACTCATGCTCTCAGAGAGAAAAAAGAAACCACTGTTGCTCTATAACAACTCAGCCTGCTCAAGTCATTTAGCTATTTTTAAAGCAGTAGCTCCTCATTTATTCTGACAGCTGTTCACCTCTCTAGCCTCATTAGGAAAAAATAACTCATGTCAAAAATTGCTGAGGGAAAAAAGCCAACAACAGATCAATGCTTGGACTTTCAAAAGGATACGGTATCTCACCAAAGACTCCTGAGTAAACTTAGCATAAGAGAACATAAGAGAAGCCAATGTTGGATCAGGCCAATGACCCATCTAGTCCAACTCTCTGTCACAAAGTGGTCAAAAATACCAGGTGCCATCAGGAGGTCCATCAGTGGGGCCAGGACACTAGAAGCCCTCCCACTGTTGCCCCCCCCCCAAGCACCAAGAATACAGTGCATCGCCTGACCCAGCCTGTGAGTTCCTATCTATACCTTGCAGCTAATAGCCACTGATGGACCTCTGCTCCATATGTTTATCCAGTTCCCTCTTGAAGCCGTCCATGCTTGTAGCCGCCACCACCTCCTGTGGCAGTGAATTCCATGTGTTAATCACTCTTTGGGTGAAGAAGTACTTCCTTTTATCCGTTCTAACCTGACCGCTCAGCAATTTCATGGAGTGCCCACGAATTCTTGAATTGTGAGAAAGGGAGAAAAGTACCTCTTTCTCGACCTGCTCTATCCCATGCATAATCTTATAAACCTCGATCATATCATGGCGGCAGTCATGGGATAAGAGGATGGGTTCTCTTATGGATTAAAAACTGGTTAAGTGACAGGAAGCAAAGAGTAGGAATCAACAGATAGTTCTCACCATGGAGTAAAGTAAGCAGTGGGGTCCCATAAGGATCAGTACTGGGACCAATACTATTTAATTTATTCATCAGTAATCTGGAACTGGGGGTGAGTAGTGTAGTGGCCAAGTTTGCAAATGACACCAAATTATTCAAGATGGTGAAAACCAAGGCTGACTGCGAAGAGCTCCAAGAGGACCTCCACAAACTGGGTTAACGTGAATGACAATGTAGCAAATGAAGTTCAGTGTTGATAAGTGTAAAGTGATGCACATTGGGACAAAATATCCCAACTTCAAGTATAGGCTACTGGGGTCTGAACTTGCTGAAACTGAGGGGAAAAAAGATCTTGGGGTTGTAGTGGATAGCTCCATCAAAGTGTCAACTCAGGGTGTGGCGGCAGTGAAAAAGGCAAACTCTATGTTAGGGATTATTAGGAAAGGGATTGAGAATAAATCAGTTGGTATTGTACTACCCCTGTACAGATCTATGGTGTGGCCTCATTTGGAATACTGTATACAGTTCTGGTCCCCATGTCTCAAAAAGGACATTGTTCAGATGGAAAAAGTGCACAGGAGGGCAAGCAAGATGACTGGGGGAGCTGGAACACCTTCCTTATGAGGAAAGGCTGAAGAGTCTGGGTCTTTAGGAGTTTAGGAGAGAGAAAACTAAGGGGGGACATGATAGAGGTTTATAAAAGTATACAAGGGATGGAGAGAGTTCACAAAGATAATTTTTTCTTCCTCTCCCAAAATACTAGCACTTGAGGGCAGCCAACGAAACTGATGGGCAGTAGGTTCAGGACAGACAAAAGGAAATACTATTTTACACAGAGAGTGATTTAAATATAGAATTCACTGCCAGAGGATGTAGTGATGGCCACAGGAATAAACAGCTTTAAAAGGGGATTAGACAGATTCTTGGAGGATAAGTCTATAATGGCTACTAGCCAAGGTGACTGAGGGGAACCTCCACATTCAGAGGCACTAAACCTTGGAATATCAGAGCCAGGAGGCAACATCAGGCGAAGGCCTCTGCCTCTATGCCCTGTTGTTGGCCATTCAGAGAACTGACTGGCCACTGTGTGAGACAGGATGCTGGACTAGATGGACCATTGGTTCTTATGTGGGACAGTTTTCATCCACAGAGCACAAAAGACAATAAAGCCCCAAAGGCTTTCCTGCTAAATCTCCCATCCTCAGAATTCAAAATAAGAGAAGGCCTCTCTCATCCACAGGTTAAAAAGGAACATGCAAACTAAACCTAAATATCTATGGGATCTGTATACCAGTTTGGGAATGTAGATTTCCCCTTTCTACAGTAGCAAGACAAAATAATCCAGTGTATTATTTAGATTTCGTTTTCAGTATCACAATCATTCCAATTTAAAAAATTAAACTATTGAAGATTTCTGTTTACTCATGAGAATCGGTTTTCTGACTGCACCTGTTATGGTCAGACTGTAACCACTGCAGAAATACATCAAGAATTATGCAGACAATGAACACACACTGCCAGGAAGTTCCATCAAAAGAATTTTGTATTTTGAGAATTCTGAGGGCTTTTAAAGGCATGTTTATGCATTACATCATGGCTCTCTCACCTTTCCACAGCCTTACACAACCATCATCTCCTGATGAGGCAAGCACTGTGCCTGTAATGTTCCAGCTTACACGCCAAACTTGGGAATTATGGTTATCAAACTGAGCCACTAACTGAACTTCGAATTTTGTCAGTCCGGATGAAGCAGTCAGTTCTTTTCTATTGAAAAAGCAAGCATTCTGTGGTGAACATGAAAGCACAGTCTGCTTAAAATGTATGCATCTCAGACATTTATATTAATTAAAAATACTTATTATAGGGAAGAAGCTCCAAAATTCTAAACAGCAGAACACTGAACGGAATGTAGTCTTTTCCATTTGCATGATGGCATTACAATGGATTTGGTATGCAGGGCATTCACAAACTTGATAGATTTGTAACCCTAAGAACAATTTATTTCACACTTCAAAGAAAAAACTTACAAAAATCTCACACATGACAATCAGTGCAATTTGAAGAACACTTTCCCAAAATTAAGCCCCATTGAATAGACCTGCTTAGGATGGTTCTGAATATTTCCTATAAAAACTCACCTGATAGGCTTTAGTGTGAAAATCCGGACATCTTTGGTAGCTACAGCTAAAATATGAAAGGACCTCCCCAGGTTCGGAGCAAATGCTATATCATGCACAGGATCTGTGACAGTCATAAGAGTTTCTGCTTTTGCATACTTCCTGAGGAACAACAGACAAACTCTTAATTTAAAAGCCAAAAAATGTCAATGCTTCCAGAAAGAAGTTTCCATTACACCCCATTATTGCTAGATTCTCACATATAATTTTTTTAAGAAATGCTTTTTAATTCTTGGAAGTTAACTAACACTAACAATATTACTGTACATCTATGATGTGGCTTTCTTTAATATATCATGTTCCAAAGCGATCAACTGATCTAATAGGGTTAACGTGATAGGGAAGTATGGGAAAAAATGAACATGTTGCAGTATAGTATATAAAGGAACTTTGTCAGCAAAGTATTACTGCTGCTAAAGGATGGGATCAGGCCGTCCTGAAATGATACATTTTAACCGTAACAGCTCTTTGCTTTACAACGAAAAAAGCTTTCAAAGTAGGGATGGGCACGAACCTAAAAATTCTGGTTCAGCTCAGGGCACAGCTTGCCATGGCCAGGAGAAAGGGGGCGGTCGCCCAGCAACGCGGGGAGAAGTAAAACCGACTAGTGAAACGGCTCGCAGCCATTTAAACCTAACAGGTCAGCTGTGGACTCGCACTGCTTAGCTGTTAGGTTTAAATGGCCTGAACAGCCGAACCAAACTAGACAAAAGTCTGGTAAATATTTGGGGAAGGCGCCTTCCCTGAGCATCAGTTCGGGGGCTCTGAACCAGGACAAGTTCATGCCGAATTCTGGTTTGTGAACCGGTTCGTGCCCATCCCTATTTCCAAGAACCTAATGTTTATTTATATTATTTCTATGTTGCCTGTTCAGAGCCCTACTCGAGTCGAGACAGTTTACAATTAAAGCAGCAACAACGTCCACAGCATACACAGGGAACACTCTTTTACTTTTGGGGGGATTTAAGTATCCCTCGTATAGTTTTTTTAAACTTTTCAGATTTTTCTGTACACCTGGGGACTACTCCAAGTGTGCAGAAAAATCTCTCTGCCCCCTAAGTGCCCCCGATGTGCGGATTTAGATATCCGCATGGAGGGGGCAACTTGGCTATTAGATATATAGATAGTGATTAGTTAATAGGTATTTTATACCAGAAAAAAATAGATATCAACTTCTGCTTTTATTTGCAAAAAAAATTCAGGTCTATATGGTGTGCATATTTTAACATTTACAGCAAAATCTGCTGACATGATAAGAATGTGCTAGAATTGGCTATTCTCTCTGCAGTAAGACTAACTTCCATACTGAAGTTTGTATTACTCAGCACTGTTATCATCAGCTGAAAATTAGAGGCTCCTTCTGGAAATACTGTGATGAGAGGACAGGATTCAAACTGCTTTAGGTGGCTGATTTTTTCACTTTCTTTGAACAGTTTCCTATCCCACAGACTATTATAAAAGTCTTTAGAGAAAACCTTCAGTTTCAAATATTTTCTGCCAAATTTGCTCACAGTTGTTTGGATCCTAGTATCCCACAGACTATTATAAATGTCTTTAGAGACAACCTTCAGTTTCAAATATTTCCTGCCAAATTTGCTCACAGTTGTTTGGATCCTAGTGTCTGACATTAAACCAATACAAAGTTAAAGCCTCACATTTTAGTATTTCAACCCTCAGAAACTTTGATACTTGACATTTATGAAAAACCAATCCTCTAACTGCATTATGAAACAATTAAGGCCATCACAAAATTCTCTCTCACCTGGTATTTTCGTTGTATTCATAAATCTGAACTTTTGCTAGGACATTTGGACTGCTGTCATCACTTCCTACAGCTATCATAGGAGCATGAGCACGACAGCTGCAATTACAAAATGAAACATATTTACAGGGAGCACTTAAGGCTATAATTCCAAAATTATTACCTGTCAAACAAGTGTACACAGTGAATTCAGATGACTCTAAAAGGGTAGCCCTATGAATGTAACATCCAAAGGTTCCTTTTAGTTCCAAGGTGTCTCTTTTAATTTTACCTTGCACAAGAAACATGCAAGCTTCTTTGGTCGCCGTTCCCCCCCCCCCCCCCCCCCCCGGGTGGTCTGAAGTCAGGCATCTCTCTTAAAGGGGGTGTACAGGCTTTGAAATGTACAGGCCCAGGAAAAGATTGGATTTACCTGTTTTGTATCTCTTATTCTTTGTAAATCAAAAGTAGTGCTGTATTGAATTCAAACCCTGCTTTGGAAGCCAAGTCTTCCTTGTGTGAGGCTCAGTGTCGAGGACTTGGGATAGCATGAATGTCTCCCCCCCCCCCCCCCGCCGCACACACACAATGCTAATTCATAAAGGGCTGGTCTCCACAGTATAGTTCCGTATATTGCATCTTAAAGTTTGGTGGCCCACATAACTGGTTCCAAGTTCAGGAGGACCTGCGTGTGTTGTGTGTATGTGTTGCCCTCTGGGCTTGGGGCTGATATTGTGGGAAATCTGCTTCCACCATTTGGCAGCCTTGATGTTGCCTCCGCAAAAGCGAGACCATCTCTTTAGCGCTCACCTGGTTTTTACCTTCTCACGGGAGGCCCATTTCATGGCTGGCTGAGTTCCAGTTCAATGCAGTTGATTTCAGTGAAACTGAAACTTCACTTCTCCTAGAATAAGCCAAACATGTCTACACCTTGAGCTGCTTATGTTGAGCCATAGAAATGGGAAGGAGAGCAGAACCGCAGCTGAGCTGGTACGAAAATGGTATATTGGGTTCCTGTTTCCTGATGAAGTGTTGAGTTAGCTTTGGCAGTCAAGACAGCGAGTCTAAACCTGCATTCAACAGGAAGCTTGCACTCTCTGAATGACTAATCTTGCATGGTCGTGGTCTTCTTTGGTACACTGTACTAACCGCGATGGAGCAAAGGCCTTAAATTAATTGTGAATGGGGGAGAGAGTATTCCATTTCAGGGGGACAATTTGAAGAGTTTGTGCATGACCCTGGCTGTACAGCGTGCCTCACTTCGAGCCTGTATATCGAATTGCTACATGAACAGAAACCACGAGCAAACTCAGGACAAATTACTGGCACAAAACAGTCCTTGTTGACACATGACCATGTACTTGAAGGATCCTTTCTTTTGGAGTTTTCCCACATCCTATGCCTGTTTCCTGTCCCATCTCGAACTGTAAATGGGATGCCGTGGGGGTGGTTGCCTTATATTTTGGTCATCCTGTGTGTCAGGAGGTTTGCTGGCTTGACAAGGACTCCCAATCAAGTTTTCGTGTCCTCATGCCAGGCACAAACATTTCGTTACTCTCAGGGTTTCTCTAGAGAGCACTGTGGCTGGTCAGATTCTGCATGCAGACCGGGCAGTAGTCCCTAAGATTGATCAACAAGTAGTTTGCATGGATGTTATGTGTCATGGGGGTTATTGCCCTCTGAGCCATGCGAGAAGCTGCCTGGAGTCATTGGAGCAGCTCATATGCCTGCCAGATGCATTGTGGAATTAAGAGCTAGAGAATGCCCCTCCTGTGGGTTTATTGTGCTTAAGAGAGTAGCCCAAAAAAAGCCTTGCACTTTTTGATCTTAAGGGTCTAGAGTGGGGAAGGGATCTTTAAAGAATCATACGTTGGACCAGTGGGCCAAACACTGACCGCTTTTATTTCTTTTCTCTATCTTGTCTCTGTGGTGTTTAGTCTTGGCATGTGGGAGGCCTCAGGCCACGGCAGTGTACAAAGTGTCTGAATACGCCCGGAGGTTTGGCGTGCCGGTGATAGCAGATGGTGGCATCCAGAACGTCGGCCACATTGCCAAGGCCCTGGCACTTGGTGCTTCCACAGGTTCGACGCTAATGTCAAATTACTTGTTTTTTTGCTCTCGGGTGCATGTCAATCCCTACAGAGAACTTCTGGCTTTTGGGGAGGAGGTTCTGCTTTTAATGGTACTGTGCTCTTTTCATGCTAGGGCATATCCTGTCCTGCAGGGGGCAGTGACTCACTAGAGAGACTGTAGCAAGTCTTACCAAGAGCACATCTGCTGTGGGAAACCCTGGTGTTTGCATCCCTGTATGTCGATCTGCGAAACCTAATTTGTGGGCAAGGTTTTAGGAGTGTGTGTGTGTGTATGGATGAATGAATGCTTCCACACTTCACATGTTTGCTGTTGGCAACAGTTGAACAGCATTTGGTGTTCTCGTCAGCATTTATAATGCCCTCAGGTCCCCTGATCCTGGAATTCCTCACCACAAGGTGAAAGGGAAACCAACATTAGCCTTGCTCTCGATACAACTGGCTTTCTGATGTTGAAGCCGGGGGAAGTAGCTACCGTGTAGCTTTTGCACAAATGGCTACTGATGTGGGAGAGGAGAACTTCTGTTTTGCAAATATCTGCGCCTCTGTAAAGAAATTGCTACCAGAACATTTCGGGCTGTCCATCCCTAAATATATTTAAGAACCAACTAATTTCAATCACGTGATGACTTGTGTGGCCCTTTGTCTGTGATGCTGCCGTCTTCAAGGACACAGGACAAGTCTACGTGATTCAAAATCAGTGGTAAAACCTGCCACTGTGTGCCAGGGCCCCTGGTCTAGCTTTGACTGAGCTGTCAAAACCCCATTCTGTCTTCTCTTTCCTGCCCCGCCACACCTCACGTTGCTTTCTTTGCTTGGCTGTAGTGATGATGGGGTCCCTGCTGGCCGCCACCACAGAGGCTCCGGGGGAGTATTTCTTCTCTGACGGGATCCGACTGAAAAAATACCGGGGCATGGGGTCACTTGACGCCATGGACAAAAACCTTGGTAGTCAGAACAGATACTTCAGGTGAGAAGGGTTCGGCTTTGTATAAGAGCTACTGGGGAATGTAAAGCTGGTGATGTACAAGCAGGATAAGTGCATGAAGACTGAGGAAAAGGCCTGTAACCCTGATAGACCAAGCCGCTAGAGCTTTGTCACAACCAGTGTTCCCTCTAAGCTTTCCCCCTTCGGTCACTCCTTAAAGCAGTGGTATGCACTCTGCGACTTGTGGACAGCAACATTTACAGTTGCCATCAACCAAAAGAGGCATATGTACTTCTATCCCTGGGATGAGGTCTGCACCTCAGGAAGCCTGCAGTTTACCCATTCCTTCAGCAGCAGCTTTTTCAAGGTGGGAACCACCTGCCAACAACAAGCCCTTCCAGGCAAGGGCCTTGCCCACTTTCCTGAGCTATGGGGCAAGTGACACATAGGGTAACAGAGCACAGAGGTATGTCAAAGAGCCACATATGGTTCCCAAGCCGCTGGGTGAGTACCACTACCCTAGAGTCTCAAGGGAAGTAAGAACGTACCTTGAAGGATTCCACGAAATACAACTGCAGCTTAGTTTACATGAGATTTCATGCTGAAGGGACCACTGACTAAGATTCATAACATCTGGAGCTTCATATATCCTAACAACGCCATCTGCTGAACATGTTGCTAACATAAGACCCATATGCTTGGGAGCAAACTTTACATCTGTAACTGATGTCCTACTGTCCACCAGAGTAGTCCTCTTCACCTAAATAAAAACACAGCATTATTTCTTGATGAATTATGGATTAAATAAAATTGGATACTGGTGAACAGCAACGAACAATACAACAACTTATAACCAGGATGACACACCCTTAGGTTGGGGAAAATGTTATAAAAACAGACTAATAAATATTTATATTAGAAATTTTTCAAAATACAAAATGAAGAAGAAGAGTTGGGTTTATACCCTGCCCTCCACTTGGCATCTCAGAGCAGTTTACAATCTCCTTCCCTTCCTCTCCCCACAACAGACACCCTGTGAGGTAGGTGGGGCTGAGAGAGCTCTGAGAGAACTGTGACTGACCCAAGGTCAGCCAGCTGGCTGCATGTGGAGGAGAGCGAATCAAACCTGGTTTCCCAGATTAGATTCCACCTCTCTCAACCACGATACCAAACTGTCTCTGCAGGAAAAGAAGTATTCTCATTTGATATTATGAGATGGGTCAACTGAAATATTTTCTAGCCCAAATATTTTCTAGCCCAAGAGAAATGCCAAGGACAGAAAATAAAGAGTAAACTAGTTGGCTGTTACATGCATTACAAAATCAGCACAATGGGCCCACCCACAATTACTACTGTCTCACAGGACTCCCCAGATACTGGACTTTGTAAATTAACTGAAGGAAAAATTGAAAGACAGGGAAAGGACGGAATGGCAGCCTCTGATAGGAAAGAGCTGGAAAATCCCTACGCATAAACCAAATACCATGTTCAAAAACATATATTCTGTGCTCCTGCCACCTACTTGCAAGCAATGTGATCTCAATTATATTTATTTATTTATTTATTTATGCTTTCAATTTAATACCCCGCTCTAATCCCATAGTTGGGGTCTCTGAGCGGCTTACAAGTTGCCTGGTGCTAATCACCGTTTCTGTCCCTAACTACGGGCACACAATGTATAGGGGAGAGGGATCTCCTACCAGCACCCCCTCTGTGGTGGTCATGATGTTCTCTCTGTCGGCGGTTCGGCTTGGTCAGGCGAGACTCGGGACCCAGCGGAAGCATCTTTATCTCCGGCGCTCGGTGGTGGTGCGCTCCTCCAGACGCGCAACTTCGCCTGCTTCCGGCCCAGCTCTGTCCTTTCTGGCTCCGCTGGGCTGGTGCTTGGCACCTGCGCACGCCCCCTCGACCTTCACAGCAGCCGTCGGTGTGTTCCTCCTTCGCCACCAGGGATCGTTCTGCTGCACAGCTCCCGATTGCGCCCGCCTGCTGCCGCCATGCCGCCGCCGTCCACGCCAGGATCTCCGCCGCCGCCGTCATCGTCGTCGCCTTTTGCCGCCGCTGCCGCCGTCCTGGACCAACCACACAGGGTGCCCCCCATCCTTCTAAGGGTGGGTACCCATTTACCTACTTGCAATTAAGTTGTTTTCGAGACCGCTGGGTAGGCGGGAGCTGGGGTGAAGGGAGCTGGTACTCGAACAGCCATAGTGGCTGTTCGGTGATGTTACAATGCAGGCACTTAACTGCCTGCGCCACCGCCCCCTGGTTCCCAGAAGAACTACAGTTCTGAGAAACCCATGCAGAGAAAGCAAAGCAGATTGCCAACTGGGGTGGAAGGAGGGGAGAGTTAAGGCAGAGAATGAATTTTCCCATGAACCTTTCAAGTATAAATCTGTGTAGCGAAAAAGAGAGGCTTAAAGGTTAAGTGTGAATCCACTCATAAGACTTATTTATTTATTTTATACCCTGCCCTCCCTGCCAAAGCAGGCTTAGGTTGGGTTACAAAAGATAAAACATGGTGCAAGCCCTCCGTGAGTCTCAAATGGAATAGCAGTTACAAATAATGGATGATGTTTGAACAAATAAGCAAGGTGATAAGTGAAAATTTACAGGTACTAATATAAAGTTATAGAAACATGTGAAGAACAGCCAGTCAAAATTTCTAGGGTCCTGTGAAGCTATTAGAGATTGTAGTTATTAAGGAAATCCAAGTCTCTGTTTAAGCCAGGATGATTTAAGACTTTAAACAGAGTTTAAAGGTTCATGGCAGAATTCAATCTCTGCCTCAATCTCCTCCTCTTCTCCTTCTTGTAATCTCCCCCCTTAAATAAGAATGTCAGTTTGATCTCCACATATCTGAACAATTCAACTGTGACTCATGAAAACACAGAGAAATAAATGCTGTTAGTCTTTAAGAGGCCACTGGACTTTTGCTTTATTTTGCTGTGAATATCAAAACAGTGACCCTTTTCCAATTATCATTGATAGGTCCAAAAAAAACAACAACCCATACACACACACTTTGACAGAGTGAAGTGGGAAAGCCATATTTTCCTTGTAAGCACAAACCTTTTAGTTCTTTGTGTCTGGTGCTACCTTTCTGATCAGTATGAGGGCCTGCCACCTTTAAAAAAGGGAATCATTTTGTACTTGGTATTTTTAAAAAACCCTAAGTTTACAGGTTATCACAAAAAATTTTCAATTCATCAACAGCAGCAAAATAATTCCAGAGATGGAATGAGTGTAAAACCCACCAGATATTCACATTTCAAACCTTACCCAATGACTCTGTCCTCGCAGTTTATCGTTTGATTCTCCTACTATTTCTTCCCATACAGCAGCCGTTCTGTCAAAAGAGCAGGATGCCAAGACCTGTCCAAACTCTGGATGCGCCCATGTCACACGCCACACAGAGCCACTGTGCGTCTGTAAGATTAAAAACTTGGAATTTACACACTAAACACTACAGTACCGAATATTTGAATTTATGTAGCTATTCAAGCTTTGACAGGAAAATGCCATAACAATACATATTAAACAAAAAACCTCAATCTCTTTAGAGAACCTATTTTGTCAAATTTGTTTCCAAAGCAAAATGTTACAAACACATTTGTACTAGCTATACAGTTCAATGGATGAATAAGGTCTAAGGCCATGTTTGCATAATGTTCCACACGGACTCTGCGGGTATGTATCTCATATGTTAAATAAGAGTGCCAGAGAGGCAAAAAGATATTTGTAGTTCTTATCTACTATATTTTGTTTCATTCATTACTCCAAGAATTTCCTAATTGTTGTGACCAGACCAAATGTACCACCAGTTGCCTTTCCTTGTGCCTTCTATGTAGTGGGCATAGACTCACACTCAGCCATTGTGAAGTTGTGCAGAGGAAGAAATGTATATTACTAGGGGCTACTGCCTTTGTCAACTGGAGTCTTATCTTATTCTAGCAAGAGACATTCAGAAAAGCTGGATACAGAAGCAAGGCTGAAAAAAGACTACAGAGCCAAGAGACACTGAAACAACTAAAGAGTAACCTTTCTCTTTCAAAGATTTCCCAAAAGCAATGGTGGTAACCAGAAAGAGACAGTAATCAAATCAGAGGGTTTCTTGAGAATGTCTGCATGTCATGTTGAAAAGAAGAGGCAATAGCACTGAACAGGGATTCACAAATATAGAGTGGTTACTCTGCCTCTGTGAAGCTTACCTGCTGTGGGAACTTTCTGGCTATATCAAGAACATGACTAGCCATGCTGGATCAGACCAGTGGACCATCTAGTCCAGCATCCTGTTTTATATGATGGCCAACCAGCTCCTATACTATACTCTGATAAAGCAGAGGCAAAATGCATAGGGGTCGTAAAGTCTAATATTTTTTTCCCACTCCACCAATCTTTTTGTTTTCTACTCTGACAAGCCAGTTGCCATTGACTCATTCTTCCCCTCTCATCAGCCCTTTGCATGCACTGAGGACTTGGGGTGAAGAGAGAGAATGCTGAGCTCTGAAGCGGGCATAACTTGTCCGGGATACACATGGCTTCTGCCTGCTCTGCAGTTCTATGCAGCATAGGATACTGTGACACTACGCATCATAACACAATTTGAGCCTAGTGTCACCTTTAAGACCAACAAAATTTTATTCAAAATATAAGCTTTCATGTCCACGCACACTACTTCAGATACAGTGGACTCAAACTTTGTTCTGCCGCTTCAGACCAACACTGGCTACCCACCTGAAACCACCCATTACAGCCTTTGAAACAGGTAAAATCTGCTTTCTACAGAGTTGAATATGATATCAGAGACATCCCACCCCCAAGGTTTTGTAATTCACAGAAATCTGGTGAAGCAAATCTGTGTGTTCCTATTTATCCGGCAACTGACCCTAGCAATCAGATTTATGATGATCTGGATTATGAAAATAAAGACTGAAATTTGCAATGTGCGCAATCTGTATGCACGCAGGGGAGAGTGCTGCAAATTTAAGTGATAAATAAATATATGTTTCACTTCAGACAGACTCTGAAAATTCCAGCCCATCACTTTGGCTCAATGCATCATTATATAAACTGCCGCAACATTAAAAAAATAAAGGAATCAACATGTGTAGGGAGCCCCAATACTAGAATTACACTTTAAGCACAACATGTTCCCTTTATGGTGACTTCTCATCCCTAATACCATTCTACGTAACTCCAAGCTATTGCCAGGGTCAAACCCTTACCTTCCAGCTAGCCGTACAATGCCACTCTCCATTTTCACCTTTGTCCCATACCTATTAAAAAAATCAAATAATTATGCACAGGAACAACCCCATAAATTATGGCTTGTGAAAACGCCAAAAAGAACTCCAGCTGAAATCCTATACATATTTACTTAGGAGTAAGCCATACTGAACTTGGTACAGCTTTCTTCTGATAAAGATGCAGAGAGTTAGTCTGAAGTTTAAAGTGGAATTAGACATATCTATAAGGTTCCAATTATTTTGAATGCTGTATTTTCCTTGCTGAAAATTATAACCCCAAAGTCAAATGACTGATTTGAATTTGCATAATTACTTTACAGAATGTTACATAAACATGTCACAAAACCATATGGATGCTATGAAGGGACCTTGGATGTTAACTTGAATCCCAACTCAGACATAATCTTGGGTCAGTCACTCTTGCGTAGCCTACGTTTCAGGAATGCTTTAACTACAAAATGGAGAAGATATACACAGCTTCTTAAAGGAAGAATAAAAATGTAATAGACAACAATTCCATTCATAAAAGGAGCAGGAAGCAGCTGAATATGAAAATTCTAATGTAAACAACTGCTCATAGTGAAATGTGTACAACTACATAATAACCTGCAATGCTCTTCTCCATAACTGCTTCTCCAGTATTGCCTTTCGAATCTGTTTACTCTGAGAAATTTTAAGTTCGATAGTACTGTAACTGTTCAACAATACAGCCATGCTTATTAAAAGGATGAGTATGTGCATGCTTGTTTATTTAGAAGGCGGACCACTACTTTGACTTACCTACATGCACCTATGGGGATGCTAGATACCTCATCACACATGTATTACTTTTAAATTACTATAACATCCAACCTCGTTAACTAGAAAGCTATCCACTGTTTATCATTTTTGGAGCTTTAAGTATTATTTGGCTTTTGTTTTCTGATTTTGCTGTTACAGCTACCTACGTATTTCTATTTTCATACAATCAACTACAGTTTTCAGACTTTGCCACCAAAATCACCGTCTAAACATCTGAATTAAAAAGGCACCCCCCTTGGGGCTCGTTTCGAACAACTGTGTAAGTCAGAGGCTTCCTTCTTTTTTTACCCCTTTTAACACAAAGTGACATTTTTCTTCCCTTGTAAGAATACTGATTTATAAGTGATGTCGCAGCACGACTAGTAAGGGTTACGCAGAGTAAACCCTTACTCAGCATAGACCGATCCACACACAACATAGTTATATGGCCTACTAAAAACTATGAACTAGGTCAACAGGTATTTTGGAAGGGGGAGTGCGGCGACTAGTGTCATAAAAAGGCAAGGGACTCTTCTCGCTATCCACTTTTCGTTCCCGAGGAGGCCTAAGCAGTTTCGCAAACCAAGACGGAAGAAACCTGCCCCTCCCGGGGGGGGGGGGGGTGCCCCCTTTCCCCGCACCTTCACACTCTGGTCACTGGAGCAGGTCGCCATTCGCCGCCCGTGGAAATCAAAGGAGACATCGTGGATGAGGTCGCGGTGATCGGCCGCAATGCTGCGCGCGACGAACATCCCGAGAGCCACGAGACTGCAGCAGAGTTTGTTCCCCGAAGACGAGCAAAGAGCGGTGAGTTCCTCTCGCACAGAAAGCCGCAACGCCGCACACCAGCTCAACCCCCCGTCCCCCTTGTCGGGCTCGCGTGCTCACTCGGCTACCATGAGCCGTGAATTGCCTTGTGCGCGCAGCCTCGCCTTGGAAAGAAGGCAACCAATCGTCATCCTCCTCGGCGCTTGCGCGTCTGCTCCTTTCCCTCAGGAAGCGGTAGAGGCTCCCCTGAGTAGCTGACGGGAAGTGGTCTTGCCACGCAGTGGTTCCGCGCCGACAAAAACAAAAAAAGAGAATCAACACTCTGTTCGTGCTTGCTGTCGGGTTGACGAGAGGGTTGCAGACCAACACGGCTACTTAACGGTCTTTGTCCGCAAATCCTTTGAGAGTTGTACAGGGCGTGTCCCTAAAAATCGCTGTAAGGAGATAGTTACTACCACTGGCAGAGCAGAAGAATCGATTCCGCTTTCATGCTTTCCCATTCGAACGTTTGGAAAGCATGAAAAGGCAGGCAAAGTCGTGTCACCCCTCGGCCAATAATTGTAGCAAGTATCTCCCTTTGCATCTAACTGCTTGTTAAAGGGAAGGAATGTGGGTTTTCAACAGAGCCGAAGTATTTGTATGTAATCTCACCAGAGTTCTTATTTCAGCAGGGATAGAAGGGAAAAGCTCAAGGACTAGCAAGAGGTGCCTTTTTTACAAATGCAAGTAGTAACATACAGATAACCTCTGTACTTGGCTTCTCCCTCTGAGGTGGAGGCCATCTAGCATGATCCCGCTGAAACTTAGACACTAGCAAGATGCTAGCAAATGGAGGCTACAATCCTAAACCTGTTTACCAGAGGGCTGAACTCAATGAGATTTACAATGAGAGTATACATGCCTAGTTGTGGTCAGAAGCACCCAACATTTAATTTCCTTTTACATTGGACAAAGAAGTTGATGCTTCATGTAATGCTTTTTACCAAACTTTGGCCCCGGTCACACAGCAAAGTTGTCACGGGAGAGGCACGGAAGGTGGGTGGATTATCCGGGCACGATCACACCCCAACATCTGGGAAGTGGAGCGCACCCCTGGCTTACCACCGACAATGGGCATTTAAAAACTAGTATCTCCAAGGTACTAGTAAACGTTTGCCACGGGCTGCCTCCAGATTCCCGTGGTGTGATCGTGCTGGCGTGCGGCATTCCCCTCCGGTCCCTTGTTTAGAGGGAAGGACCCGTGGTAAAACTGCACGGGGCAATTAGCCTTGCCTCCCCCCTGCAATATCCGGCCCATGTGACCGGGGCCTTTGTTTTACAGAATAAGCCCAGCTTTGTTTAGAGAGGTTTACTCATGCCTAAAATTAAAAGTTTCAATCTTTTTTGTGCATGTAAGTGCCACTGAAATCAGAGGAACTTACTTTTAAGTAAACATGCATGAGATTGGGCTGTAAAACAAAGGCAATATCTTGGAACTACGTTGGTATGGAGTAGTAGTTAAGATATGAGACTAGAATTTGGGAAAGTCAGGTCTGAATCCCTGCTTTACCATGGAAGCTTGCCAGGTGACCTTGAGGCAGGTACTTCCTCTCAGCCTAACCTACCCCACAGGGTTATTTGTAAGGATAAAATGGAGAAAGGAAAAATGTTATAAGCCACTTTGGGTCAACATTGGTGTGAGGCAAAGCACCCAGATTTCCCCCAAGGGTTAACATAACTATTAGCAGGCCCACTCTGACCTGCAAGTGTTTGTAACTGAGCCTTCCTTACCTTATCTCTTTCAAGGTGGTTTTCAAGAATGTGGTAATCAGTTAAAGGTGAGAGAACCTGGGTTCAGCTGTGTAACTGGAGGGGGGGGAAGCAGGAGTGGATGTCAACATCTTCTGGAGAGTTCCATCAAGCAAACTCCTTGATTGGGTGTGGGAGAACACCTGGTTCTGCATGGCAGCAAACGATAATTAGGCCAGAGGGAAACCTTGCTAAATTTATGATTTCACTATGCTCTTGCTATGTCATACTACATCATGATGAACAGCTGCCCAGAGAATGTTTAACCCTCTAACTTGGACTCTTGAATGTATTGAATATATTAGATAAAAAGTTAGCTTTGTTGTTTTCTTCACTGCTAAGCAGTTGAGACTGTTCTGCATAGTAATATCCTACCTTTTAAAAAGTCTATTCAATAAACCTTTATATATTTTTACAAACATCTGCTTTATTTGTATGCACTTCACCTTGAGGGCCAATGGGGCTGGGTGCTGCTCACTTTCAACAAGAGTGGTGAACCACAGGGTCACAATTGGGGAGAAAACTGAGGTACACATGAAGTAAATAAATGGGGGGGGGGTTGCTGTTCAGATAGGAATATGCTGAATCATCAGAGGAGTGGACTGGAGTGGGGGTAGGTTTAGTTTATTATCTCCAACTCTATACCTTACCCTTCACTTTTCCTCAGTAAAGTGAATAGGTGCCACTCACTTGTAAAGGAAATATTAAAAAGCTGCATGTAAGTTCACTGTGGCATTGAAGGTTTACTGTGCTAGGCAAAGGATGCATGACCATCACTGCTTCACATCTTGAGTTTCCCTAGGCTTGGAACTGTTTCCCCATGGTGGCTATGTGATGTCACCCAATGCCCTTCAACACTCCCATTTTATCTTTTCTGGGACACTGTGCTCTACTGAAACAATAGCTAAGTGTCTGACAGAAGGTCACCATTCTCTTTGCTTCCTCTCGTTTATATCTTCTCCCCCCCCCCTTTGTTAAGCACCCCCGTGTCAAATTCTGTATTACATCCCCAGGGTAAGGCTAGGGCCTTTGCATTACTTTATAAAATGCCATGCAGACTGATGACACTAATTCCTGTAGGATACAAGCTGTACACTGGAACATAATCTGTTCATATAACTCTAGTGTTGTAGGGCGTTTTACTAGGTTATATACATCAAGAAGCTTTATGATGCCACGCAGTTTTCCGGTTTGCCAGCTACCCTGAGCGAGTGGGCCGAAAAATCAGTATCAGCCTTGTAGTATATAGACTTCATCTATATACTACAAGCCTACGAAACCTTTGTGAATGTGAAAGGACGCGATCCTAATACTCACTACGCACACGTGGGTAAACTTGACCCGTTCCTATTCCCAAAAAGGCGGGCCGTGACGTCACCCCCAGGTGCTCCTTTTCCCCGTTAATAGGCGAGGCTTCGACAGTTCTTGGTAGGCGGAGTACTGGGAAGGGTGTTGCGCATGCGCTTCACGAGAAAGCACAGGAATCGCAGAGGCTGCGTGAGGAACATAGTCAAAGGGCAACGCGACCGGTAAAGTGGGCGGGTTGTCGTCCGCGCCTTGTTACAGGCGGGAGGTAGGGGATGAACTTGTCGGCCTCCGTGGGCCCCTCTTCCTCTGGCCGCCATCGCCATCATGGCCACGATAGAACAGGAGTTCCAAGAGATCGACGCCGCGAACGACTGGCAGCCCCGCTACCAGGTAAGTGAGGGTGGAACGCGTACGCTACCAAGCGGGAAGGGGGAGGGAGACCGGCGGTGGGTGCTGGGCTACGGAAAGAGGAAGTCGTTGGGCCACGACCAGCTTTCAGGTGCGCACATTGGGACTGGGGGTAAGAAATGCGCATGTTCTAACTTAAGACGCCGCCGCGAAGAGAGCGAAGAATAGTTTTGAGGACTGAAGAGAGGACGCATGCGCTGAGTGAAGGGGAAGAGGTAGCCAGCCGGCGTACAGCGCGCATGCGCGTGGCGTTCACTTCGGCTCGGAACCGGGAGAAGCCCGTGACTACAGTGTGGTCGTTCTCTCGCTGCCGTTTCCTCTCGAAGTGATGCGGGCCAGGTTATTAGCTGTCGCTGATTTCCCTTTGGCTCGTGTTCACGGAGCCTTCCTGCGGTGTGAAACTTCCTGTTAACTCTCTGAAAAAATAACTTTTGTTACCATGCGAAAGGAAGAATTACTTATTTAGCGACATTGCACCCACTTGTGCTTGCAGTGACAGTATTAAGCTACCAAGGTCTTCATATTTCCTGGAACGGGTTTAAACACTGAGGTAGCCAGTAACAAGGGAAATTCCATGTTTCAAGAGATCCTGCTGGAAGCATGCTGGTTGTGGCCTGTGGGTTACATTGTAGGTAAATCATGTGACAGATGCATGGCTTGGACAGGTGTAGTAATCAGAGAGAGGTATATTGGGTACAACTCTTGCTGAGTGTACACTTGACAGCAAACCGAGGTTTGCTTGTTCATAATGTTCAAAATGGCCCTTGCTGTTAGAACTGAATGTTGCAGTTCCAAACAGAAGTACACAATGGCATTAAGGCTTCCCCGTGAAGTAATCTTGGGCTTCAGTTCTGTCTGTTGTCAGTGCTTCAACTCTTGGGCCCCTTGTGAACTCATTTTTTCAGACTCTAAACATACAAAGTAAAAGTGTGGATATTCTTGTTTAATATGCAGTGTAATGCACAGCAGGTTGTTCCTTTGCTTCTGGGTGAGCCAAAGATATGGTGGTTTTAACAATGCAAGTTGTTTACAGCACAATGTAAACAGCATTGTGATTTCAGCTTTAATCCAGGGTGGTTTGCTTGTTACTCTGATCAGATTGTTTTCATGTGGCAACAGACAGGGCATAAAGGCTAGGGCCTTCCCCTGATGCTGCCTCCCAGTACTGTATATGCAGGTTCCCTTTACTCACTCTGGCTAGTAGTTCTTAGTGAGCGATATTGATGCCCGTCTGAGCTTTTTGGAATGGGGTACAAATAAATATAAGCAGCCTGAATAGTTCAGACTAGCCTGAGTTCATCAGAGCTTGGAAGTGGAATGGGGTCAGACATGGTTAGTACTTTGACAAGAGCTCACTAAGGAATATCAGGGTTGTTATGCAAAGGAAGGCAATGGCAAACCACTTCTGCCCTTCTCCTGCCTTGAAACCCCATGAGGGAGGGCTCTACTGGTAGCAGGAGCTCCTTTGCATATTAGGCCACACACCCATAGTGTAGCCAATCCTCCAAGAGTTTACAGTGGCCCCAGTAAGAAGAGCTCTGTAAGCTCTTGGAGGATTGGCTACACTAGGGGTGTGTGGCCTAATATGCAAAGGAGCTCCTGCTACCAGTAGAGCACTTGTTGGCACATAATTATTGTTACAAATAAATATTACTAATAAACATATCCTTTTAATTGTTGTAGTTATGTCAATAATTACTGCTTCACCCCATCTGCAGCTGATTCTTTTTCTTGCTCGAATCCAGTAATAGTGGTAGTAAAAATATAGGTAAGCATATAGAAAAGCAGCCAGCAAACCTAGATCTGTGGTTGAAGGCAGGGGCACGATGCTCTTCTTGATTGGCAGAGTTTTATTTTATTGTTTGATGAACAGGGTGCAATTTGGCAGTGTAGGCAAAGAAAACTTCAGCCAAGACCACGCCATGGCCCACATGTTAGGAATGGTTTGGTGTTTTGTTGATTTTTAAGCCCACAAAAGGCTCTACTTCAATGTGGCTTGTCTGAGTTCTGTCCTGAGCAGAAATGGTGGTGGTTTTCTGCTTTTTCTTTTGGATATTCTTGCAGTACAGAGTGTGTTAAGAGCCAGTCAGGCTCTCTGCTGTGGCAGTTTCACTGAAAAAAATGGCAGGAGGTGTGTTTCACAGACGCTGAACTGCAGGCTGTGGAAGGGCAGTAGTTCAACAGTTCGAGACCCGAGTTGTCGCATGATGGAGTGAGCTCCCGTCTCTAGTTCCAGCTCCTGCCAACCTAGCAGTTCGAAAGCAAGAAATTGCAAGTAGATAAATAGGTACCGCTTTGGTGGGAACGTAACAGCGTTCCGTGTACCTTGGTGTTTAGTCATGCCGGCCACATGACCACGGAAACGTCTTCGGACAGCGCTGGCTCTTCGGCTTTGAAACAGAGATGAGCACCGCAACCCTAGAGTCGGACTCGACTGGCTTTCGAGCAAGGGAACCTTTACCTTTACCTTTTTTTTCAAACAATTATACACCGGAGGCGGGGGGGGGTTACTTACATCACATGGCAATGGCCATCCCCACCAGCATAAAAGCTCCTAAAGGCAAGTAACGTAGCCTCAGGTAAAACTTGAGCAAACTCACTAAGGGGAAGCGGATGCTCTACCACAAAGCCTCAGCCCCTCCCCAGAACTATAACCGAAGGTGAAAGACCTTGAAAACCACAGTTACTGTAATTTCTGTGCTTGCGGGTTTCCAGAATCGCTGAAAGAACCAAATCTTAGAAGTCTTCTTATTCAGATGGATTTCACAAGTTATGAATTTAGAAGATGGTGTATCCCATGCACTAGAAGGTGCACATAGAATTGGCCCTGCAAGCCCTAGCGACAAATCCAAAGTAAGAGATGCCATGGCAAAGTTTGTTCCACGGTTTGTTCGTCATAAGATTTAAGAAGCTATTCTTAAGGAAAGGAGGTTGATCCACGGGAAAAAGAGGATTCTCCAAGCTTGGATACGTGATGCTGCCTTATACTGAATCAGGCCCCCAGAAGTCTTTCACATCACCTACTGCTAGATCCTTTAACCGGGGGCCTTCTGCATGCCAAGCAGATGCTCTACCGCTGAACCACTGCCCTTCCCAAGTTAAGTTTTTATGGTGATGTGATGTTGGAAAGTGCTGTCAAGTTGCTACCGACTTATGGCAACCCCATATAGTGTTCCCAGCCGAGGTCTAGAAGATATGATTAGTCAATTTCTCTTGAATGGCAGTATTTTTAATTGCAACTTCTGTTGGTATCTAAATACGGCCCTGCGGCATTAAGTGTCTCAGAGCCCCCTTCACTCCTGGAAACTCTAATTGAATCAATGCAGAAAACAAACCTATAGTATTTGTTTATAAATATTTGATGTCAAATAATAAATATGATATATAGAGTTGCAGGAATGATTAGAATCAGGAGCTAGATCATCCTGTTTTGCCAAAATAATGGGATATGGCCTTTATGTTTGTATGGAAGCCGCCCTGAGCCTGCTTTGCAGGGAGGGCAGGGTATAAATCTGATAAATAAAGTCTGTACCTGATGTATAGATCTTCACTTGTGACTTATTCAGCAAAAAAATAGATCTTCACTTGTGACTTATTCAGCAAAAAAATATGTTTGGGATATATTGGACACCACAGAGACACTTTAGTAAAGGATTGAGTAAAGTATCTAATGGTTGGTGTTGTAACTCACAAGACACATCCCTTAAATATATGCTTGGGGCACTTCCAGTCATTTTTTTTCCTGGATGACGTTTTTACTTATATCAGTTTTGTTTTAGAATATTCATTGGTCTTTGAGGATGCTTATGTACTTTTAAAATATTGGCCTGTTTCTTGGAGGCTAACTGATGGTCAATGGAAATGGATCCCTCCATGCCCTTACACCAGCTAAAATGCTTGTATTACAACACTGGAGAGATAAATGCCCACCTCCTGTAAATCAATGGATTGAGGACCGTACAGCTTTATCAGTATTTGAATGCATGGCTTATAGACAACAATTGCACATGGACTTATTTATAGTTATTTAAATATTTGTAAATCTTCTATAAAAATTTGTGTACATCTGCCACCACTGTTGTTTCTACTTTATATATACTTTCCCCTTTTTTATTAGTTGCTGGATTTGAGGGGTTTTCCCCCTTTTCTATTTTTTTCTGTTTTTGAAAGAAAAAAATTGCTCTTAATACTTATTTATCTTTGACATTTCTTAATCTCCATGGACATTAGTAACACATACAGAACAATGTCCTACTAGTAACATGTGCAGAACAATGCCGGGGGATGAATGACACAGTGAAAAGGGCCCAAATTGCTTCTCCTTTTTTCTATTACAAAAAGGAAATGACTTCTATTACAAGAAATATTAAAAATAACACCCAGTTCTAAAAATCAACACATTTGACAGGCAATTTGCAGCCACTGGCTCATCCAAAGCAAGGGGAGTAGTAGTTTCATTAGCTAGAAGTTTTACTTGAGACATACAAAGCTCCATTGTTTATCCACATGGCAGATACCTGAGAAAATACCAATTTAACAGTTGCCACAATTTATACTCCTACGTCGAATCACTCAGTCAGAACTAACATCCAATACACTAAAAATACTTGTGTTTAAAGGAGGAAGCATTATTTTAGAAGGGGATTTTAATTTGGTTTGGGTTAATAAACTAGACCAATTTTACACCCCTTAGAAGTGTAAGCAAATACTGACACCATCCCAATTTGGGAAGCTAGTGAACCACCATGGTCTTTTTGATATTTGAGGAATGTTATGTCTGCAAAGAAAAGTGTACACATTTTTCATATATTCATAAGTTTCTCCTGCGTATGTTGTATTTCTTATTTCACAAGCAGGTACAGGCCTTAAACATTGGTCAGATGGGCCATGATCTCATACTTAACAGAACCTAAATGGCTTAGGCTCAGACTGGGAATTAGATAATTATTACTAAACAATGACATTTCTGAAACTCTTGCAAG